CAGGCTCTGAAATAAGAGCTCCCAATCTTCCATAATCTTTGGTGATAAAACACAAAGCAGCAGGCCAGTGACACCCATTCATAAATACTGGGCCTATTTACCAGCGCTCAGTTGAGAACACTTTTGCTGGTGCTAAGAACCTGCACTGCTGTACCGCACCCTGGGAGTTAAGGGCAGGTCTTTTAAGGGTCACAGATGAATCACAGCATGATGCAATGCCGGGGCTGCAAGGGGCCTGAGAACCTGTTCTTCTGTGAGGTGTATAGATGGCTGCAGGTCTGCTTCCCTCCTGAACTGCAGCCAGACACAACACTGCAAGGTGTTAAGGTGAATGCAAGCCCATTGTTCAGTTAAGGAACTTGAGCCCAGAGAAATCAACCTGTTCCAGAGTCATGGAGCAAGGACTGGAGCCGAGACTCAAAGCCAAGGCTTCCTGGCAGCTTGTCCAACTGACGCTTGTTCTGGAAGGCTCTGTAAGCTCCTCAAGGCTGAGTCAGCCTTTGTCATCTCTCTGTTTCCAAGTGTCCCAGCACTAGATTTTGCTGCTTTGCTGGTAGTGGGTAATGATTAATACTGAGGAAGGAAGAAAAGGAGTGAGAGAGGACAGGATGTGGGGGATATTCAACTTATAGCTGGTGGATTGGTCTATTTTCATATTTCTATGAAGAAATACCCAAGACTGGGTAATTTATAAAGACAAAGAGGTTTAATGGATTCAGAGTTTCACATGGTTGGGGAGGCCTCACAATCACGGCGGAAGATGAAGGAGGAGCAAAGGCACATCTTACACGGCGGCAGGCAAGACAGCATGTGCAGGGGAACTACCCTTTATAAAACGATCAAATCTCACAAGACTTACACACTATCACGAGAAGAGCATGAGAAAAATCCACCCCCATGATTCAATTACCTCCCACGACATGTGAGGATTATGGGAGCTACAATTCAAGATGAGAATTTGGGTGAGGACACAGCCAAACCATATCAGCTGGCCTACTAACACCAAGAGCAATGCCAACAACCATGACCATTTATGGAGCCATTGCTCTGCACCAGGTGGAGCAATGAGTGCTTTAAATGCAATGTCTCACCTACTTTCCAGCAACCCTATGGGAGTTCACTATTATCCCAATTACATAGAAGGGCAAAGGGAGGCTCAGAGATGTTCAGTAAATTGTCCAAGGTCATTCGGCAGGTACATGGTAAGTCCAGGATGTCAGCTTTGATGGCTCTGGTGCATAACCACTACCCCACACTGCCTGCTGCTGGGACCAAAAATCAGGCTTTTAAAATTCTTTCTGGCACTATCTGCTACTCTGTGCTACAGGAGCAGGAGCAGCTCCCACATCAGATACAGTCAGAATCTCAGTGACTCCTATTTTACAGCCTCCTGGGGAACCCCAATGCTTGCCCATAGGGCAGGGCATGCAGCCAAAGACCCATCAGGGGACACTTTCGCAAGTGACAGGAGATTTATTCTTATTCCCAAAGACAGAAGGAGCCAGCACAGTTGTAGGTTTGGGCATGAACGGTTAGGACAGGATGTGAAAAGGGAAACAGGGAAGGCAGAACCAGACAGCTCAGGGGGAGTGAGGGCCTGTGAGGGGATGAGGTAGGAGCCAAAGAGATGAACAGGTGGGCTTCTCCAGGTAGAAGGACACTAAGAGGATGCGCCACATTGTTGGACAGCCCTAGCTCCCCTACTTACTTGCTACAAGAACTTGGACAAATTACCTATGCTCCCAGAACCTCGATCCTCATCTATACAATAGGATGGTGCCTGTCTTATAGAGTTACTGTAAGGATTAAATACCATAGTGTACATAAATTGCTTTAAGTGCAGGTCCTGCCATATGGTGAGTGCTCAATAGTTAATAGCAATTTGTGGTGGCGGTGGTGCAGTCATTGCCAAATGATGTGCAAGGTAAGGGGATAAGCAGGGAAGATGCCAGGAGGAAGCAAACCCATCATCCCCCAATGTTTAAATGACTTGAGGTTAAGAGACCATGTCTGCATATAGCCAGGCCAAAGAAAGTGGTTAAGGGACATGCCCAAGGTTGAGTCACTAGTGTTTTCTGGACAGGGACCACGGCTGAATCATCTAATATTCCAGCCCTTGGCGTTGGCTTTGCACAAAGGGAGCACTCCACCGGTTTTGTGAAATTTACACATGGCTTGGTCTCCTGAAGTCTGTGATGAGATTATGTTCCCCACTTTTTCCCTTTGTTTGGTGCCCTTTTACTTCCCTACCTGCTGATTCATTTATCTTCTTCCCACACTTCTTGAGCATCATGTGTGTGTTGTGGTCCTTCTGGAAACTATGAGGGGATTAAAACAAGTCCGGGATGGGACTGCCACTGAAGCAACCAGACTTTTTAAACATTATTTGGCCACATTCCACTGCCTTCCCAGAATAAGGTCTTCTGCTGCCTGTGTGGGCTGTGTGCAATGGTAATTCCATTTCTGCCTTTCTCATTCCCAAACCACCCGTCTTCAACAGGCATTTGCCAAAAAAAGACCATGGTGTGTGTTTACAGTAGCTCAGCAAAGAGTTATTCGTCTAAGCAGAAAACATCACAACTCAGAACCACAATGAGGAGCTAGACTGACAGTCACCTCCAAGCACATGGTCATCTCTAGCACATGGGGCCCTCTAAGACCTAAGACAAGTCTACAGGGATCCAGGGGAGATGTCCCTGAGGCAAGTTCGGGTCCCCAAGAAGCAAATAAGAAGACGGAGATGAGCATAAGAGTAGTATACATGGGACTCATTCTCTGTCTCTCTCTCTCTTTTGGAAGTGCTCTTGGGCTCGACCCCAGTGGCAGGGAAAGGTAAGAAGCAAATTGGACAGAGGGAGAAGTTAGACTGTGGTGCAGTTTCAACAGAGACCTCAGCCCATTCTAGTCTAGGATGATGCTTCAGCACCACCGTAAAGTGGTGTGGGGGGGACTTTTATACCCCTACATCAATCAGTCCCTAGGCACCAGCTGCCTAGGGAGGGGCTGAGACTATGGTCCAGGAGCTCTCTCAAACAAGGTCAACTTCCAAAGGGGGCTGAGTGCTGACAGCTGTGCCAGCAGCACTCCCCTCAGCTGTGGGGGAAGATCATGAGATGATCTGAGCAGCGCATCTCCACGTTTGAGACAGCTCAGGTAGTAGCCACTGACTCTCTTTTTCTCCATTGAAGAGCAGAAAAACACACAGCAGTGATGAGATGTCAGGCTATGGAGCCAGACGGGCCTGGGTTCAAATGGAGAATCTGTCCCTTATACCACTGGGCCCCTCACCCGAACAACAAGGTTGCTGAGAGCACCTTGCACATTCAGTGCAAGGGTTGTAGGACTGACTAAAACAGCATGCATAGCTGGCATATAGTAATCACTCAGTAAAAGGCAGCTCTGATCGTTATTACATAACTCAGAATGGAGGAGAAAACTGCTTGCTTTGGGCCTCAGCAGCAGTATTTGTTTCTCAGTCTCAGAGTCCAGCATAAATGCAAATTCATTCATTCATCCATTCATCAAATACATACTCAGGGCCTACAACTATGTGCTGGGAACAGTTCTGGGGACCAGAGATACAGTGGTGGCAAAACAGAGAAAGTTGAGTGAAAGAAGAGACCAAATATGTTTGTAACACACATCCTGTGAAGGAAAATATGGCTGGCAAGAGGACAGAAGGGGATGGCTGGGGCGCAGGATGGTAAGGGAGGGAGAGGAAAGCATCTCTGAGGAGGTGAGCAAACACCAGACAGAAGTGAGGAAGAGCCACAGGGGTGTCTAGGGGACACTATCCCAGTAGAAAGAATTGCAAGGGCAAAGGCTGAAGCTGAGAATCGCTGGTCTTATTCAAGGAATAGCAAAAAGGGCCCTGGGCCTGGAGAGCCATGATCAAGAGATGGGACACTGGGCAGTGGGCTGGAGAAGCAGCCCAGGCCAGGCAGGATGGGACAGAGCCTCAGGCCCGGCAGGAACCCTGGGCTCGACCCTGAGGTGATAGGAGGGACGCCTCTGCAGGTCTGAACAGGAGACACGGCTGAAGGGCATAGGATTCCAAGGGCAGGAAGAGAAGTCCATAAGGAAAAACTGTCCAGCTGGGAAGAGGGGAGTGGAGGTGGAAAGGAAGGGATCACAGAAACCAAGTGGTAAGGAACCTCAGAAACCATCTGGCCCAGGTCTGGCCTCCAGAAGCTAAGGAATGAACATCACTGTTCTACAGACCAGGAACCTGAGCCCAGAGACTTCCAGCCACCTGCTAAAGGCTTCACTGCCAGTGAGAGGCAGAAGGTTACCGGGCCTTGGAGGTGCCCCACTGGCCCACGGGGAGAAGAGGGCTTTGGGTTTGTTGCTGTTGTTTCTGCTGTTATTTTATCTTTTTTTATTGATGATGTTGATGATGATGATGATGATTTTTGAGACCAGGTCTCACTCTGGTCCTTCATGCTAGAGTGCAGTGACACAATCTCATCCCACTGCAGCCTCGATCTCCCAGGCTAAGGTGATCCTCCCACCTCAGCCTTCTGGGTAGCCAGGATTACAGATACATGTCACCACACCTGGCTAATTTTTTGTATTTTTAGTAGAGACAAGGTCTCGCCATGTTGCCCAGGGTGGTCTCAAACTTCTGGGCTCAAGTGATCCTCCCACCTTAGCCTCCCAAAGCGCTGTGATTACAGACGTGAGCCACCACGCCCAGCCACTACTATTATTTTAAAGGAAACCCCTAACACTTAACACCTTAGTGTTTCCATTTCAGGGAGGTTCCTCAGTCCAGGAATCTGCTTGCTAAATGTTTTCTCTGTGCATCATGTGACCAAAGGAGGCCAAAAAGACATAACCTTTCCCCAAAGCCAGCTACTTCCTCCATCGCAAAGCATTCATTCAGGGCCCAAGAGAGAAAACAAAGATCACAGGTGAGTTTGGATACCAGAGCATGAGGAAAAAATCAAATTATTCAATGTAAAGGAAAGCTACTCCTAAATGGCTTTTTAATTAGTTTCTTTTTTCCATCAGAGCCGTTGGCATTCATCAGCACTCAGACGTCCCTACCGACAACAGCTTCCTCAAAGGCTGTTCCTAAATGTTTCAGCTGGGTGGTGCCTGCAGGGAAAAATATGAGAAGATTCAGGGTCCATAAGCAGAGAAGCCACTAGCTTGAACCCTTCTTCCTCTGCCCAAGGCCCAGAAAGCAAACGCTACCCTGGGGTTCACTTTGTGTATATAAAGCATCACTTTCAGCAGGGCAGCCAAGAATCCTGGTCCCAGCGGATTGGGTGGAGCTACGGCGCTCACTTTGAAAAGGCCGGGAAGGATGAAAGTACTGAGGAAAAGGGTCTCCCCTGGCCCCAAAGTGCAAAGATTTGAAAAGCCAACTTTGAACTTGGTGTGGGAGGGTCCCAGCCTGGGAGGGGGCCAACGGGAGAGAGGAGTGAGTCGGCCTCAAACCCAGCCTAGCAGGGCAGGGGAGAGATCCTGCCCAGCAGGAAACGGGAAATGTAGGTTAGACAACTAGGGCAGTTCTGAAGCCGGAACTGTGTCTGCTGCGAAGTCAGGCAGGGGCTGTGAGACGTAGGAAGTAGCAAAAGGAAAGGACCCAGCCGACCTCAAAGCCTCTGATTTGGAAAACGGAGCAGAGGGGGGAGAAGAAAAAGGCGCTCCAACAGACAGGAGGAGGGTACCAGGCACCGGGGCAGATGGAGGGGAGGCTGAGGCTGCCCCCAGCCCCCTTCCCTACCCGCCCCCTCGCCCCACTGCAGGTAACGGGCTGGAGATTCCAGAGTCCTCCCACCATGGAAACTCGGGCTCACCTGGGAGGGCTCATGTAGGCCTCTGCCCAGGAGACACACTATCTACTCCACTGGAAATCCCTCTCCCCCTCCCAAGTGTCCCTAGCTCTCTGCATGGACTCCACTCCAGCACTGATCCTGTCTGACTTTTATTTGCTGGGCTCTGCATTCCGTTCCCCCACAGGTATTTACGGAGAATGAATGGAAGGCGCTGGGCTGGGTAAAGTGCAGGATACTGAGTTACCGGGCCATCCCTGTCTCCAGGGAAGAGAAAGAGCCAGATCCCATAGCCCAGACACCTGGGCTTTAGAGTCCGGCTCCATCACTTCCTGGCTGTGTGATATTGGGCACATTCCTCCAGCTGACTCCATTTCAGTTGCTTTATCTATAAGATGGAGGCGCTTGAAGATGGGGATGTGGGATGAAGAGCTGGAAGGGCAAGCGGGGTCAGGTTAAGGCCTATCACAGCTGCCATTTATTAAGTATCCTACTGTGTGTCAAACTGTTTTAGATGCTTTATGGATATAAATTCCCACAAGGTGGGAATTGCTCCATCTGCACACACAGATGCAACAGTAAATGGGAGAAAACCAGTGCTCAGCACACAGTAGGAGTACCATCACCCAACGCAGAGTTCATTCATTCTCCCCACACACATTTGTGTTTGCTAGGTGCTAATGCGGTTCTAGGGCAGCAGCTCTCAACCAGAAGTGACTCTGCTTCTCCCTGGGGGACATTTAGCAATGTCTGGAGGCATTCATTTTGAGGAGAGGGGATGTTACTGGCAACCACTGGGTAGAGGCCAGGGATACTGCTTAACATGTTGCCATGCACAGGACAGCCCCTCACAACAAAGAATTGTCTGGGCCAAAATGCCAATGGTGCTGAGGTTGATAAACCCGGCTCCCGGCACTGGGGAGACAGCAATGTGCCAAAGAGGCAATGCCCCTGCAGCTCACATCCCAGGGCAGGAGACAGATGACGAACAAAGACAATAACGAGTCAATGTCTACAGGTCCACTGGTTAAAAGTGCTACAAAAAATAATGTAAGAAAAGGAGGAAAGAGAATGATGGGGTCAGCAGGGACATAGGGCACATTGGAGAAGAGCCCTGAGAAAAGCAAGGGGGTGAAGCCATGGCTGCCAGGTATGATGGACAGAGGCCCTGGGGCGGGTGTACCTCCAAGTATGGCAGGAAGTCCACGCAGCTGAACTCAGTGAGCACGGAAGCAAACGGTTGTAGAGGAGGTCGGGGGTTATTATGCTGATTTAGTCATGTGGACACCTTATGGCCCCCTTGGTAATACATACACTCCTTCAGGACGCAGGCTCTATCCAACGTCTCAGTGCCACACACTTGCTGGAACTAAACTGGGAAAGATGCCAGGTTGAACTGAATTTCAGCTCAGGGGAGGTGGTTTCCTGTATTATAAAATTTACATGAGACCTAACTATCCCTGCTTTGTTCTGGTTTGGGGCAGGAAATGGGCTTAAATGTACTGTCAGCTTGTATTCTACAATTTTTGCTTGGCTTTCATTCACATGTCACTGGGAAGGGAGTTGCAAGACCTGACACGGGTCCTGAATACAATTTTAACACTGTCCTCTGAGCCTGAATGAGAAGATATATTCATTCATTGATCCAACAAATAGGTATTAAAGACGACAACAGGGCAGAATTGGGCTGATGCAAAAGTAAATAAAACACAGACTCTTCTCTCAAGCAACTTACAGAAATATGTCTTCACTTTTTCAGATATAGGTCTTTGCCTTTAATGAAGTGAAGATACTTTGTAATACAGGGTAACAAACAACCAAACAGAATGAATCAAGAACTATGAAGACGACCAGATGACTACCCACAAGGCAGGAGAGCAAACAGCTTACATCTCACACGCCAATTCTCATCAGTAGCAGCTGCCTAGAATTGTGTTGAAAAGGATCCTGAAGTCCCATCTGACCTCAGTGAGAAAAAGTGCTGTGCTCAATTACTTATGTCTGCCATGATCAAAGAAGCCAAGTGATAGAAGTACCAAGTATATTTGCCATCCAAGCTGAAATGGAGTTCGACTAAGTAGAAACGGAGCTTGAAGAGTGAATTATGGCTTGCCTCTTAACGTTTAACATAAAAATATAGCAAGTACACTGCACTATTAAGGTAGAAATGAAGGAGGAATAAAAAACTCAATTTCATAATCTATCTTGAGCATACATTTATCTACCTCCTTAACTCCAGGAGTATTTAAGAAATGAGAGGGGAAAGCAAAGAATCCTCTGCTAGTAAAAGAATAATTACAAAAGACTAGGCCAGACTTTACTGCTTAAAATCAGAGGGCACTGGCTCTGAAACGGGGCCCAGCTCTGGGCATCTGGGCTGAGGCCCCTCCCCAGCCCAACTCCATACTTCTCCCCTAAAGCTTCACAGGAACCTGGCAAGAGAGAAGCTTAGTCTCATCCTAGAACGAGATTTGCTAGTCAAATCCTTCCTTCCCAGGGATTGGACAGACAATGTGAGGCTGTTTAGCAACAGGTTAGGGGCAGACTCCCCAAATCTCCTTTCTCTGCAATCCGTCAGCCTGGCAGAAGCAACCTAGAGATGGGATTTAGTCTCATTTTGACATGGCAAAGTTCCAGAATGATCTCCCTGCTTGCTAGTCAAGCTGGGATCAAGCCAGAGCCTACACACAGGTCCTGGGATCCAGGGAGGAATGAAATTGCTTTATTAACATCAGAAGGTTGGGGGAAGGGAAGAGTGTTCTGATCAGCTATGCCAGCAGTAATTTAAAACACAGTTGAAAGGAAGGAGGAGAAGTGGGGTGGGTCAGGCCGATGTCCCCTGAAATAAATGCCCTCTGAGGGCTGCCATATAGGAGGAGGTGGTCGCCCTTCTTGGAAGGTAACAGCCTTTCTTGACCCATGTGCTGGGTCAGAAAGAACTCTTGGATCGTCCTGCCTAACCTGACAGCCCTTCAAGGCTCAGCAAAGAAGGTATCAGCACAGAGCTACAACCAAGGGATCAAAAGCTTAAGCCACAAAAGTGCAAAAAAAAAATCCCTTTTTTTGAAAGGCAGCCAAAGAAACACCTTCACAGAGCTGCCTTGCATGGCCTTTCAACCAAACTATTTCCAGCAGCACAGGCTCAGCAGCCCCACCAGGCCACCCAGCCCAGAGCACGGCTGCAGCACTTCCATGCTTCCCTCAAGCCTGTGACCCAGAGACTGTGCTTTGTCTTGATTTTATCTGTATTTTTTCAGGGGAAAGGGCTGAGAGAGGAAGGGGAGCCAGGCAAAAATACTGTGTGTTCCTAAAGCCCATGTGAAGAAACGGCCAGGCAAAAGCCACACTTTGAGGACTCGCCCAACATTCCTGGCTAAGCATCTACATCTACCTTTGCCTCCAAGTCTGTGGGCTGATTGGGTGACTGTGGAAGAGGAGAAAGTGTGTGTTCCTGGACCTCTGCAGTCCCAACGGAAGTGTGCCCATTGGTGGGAAGGCCAATGGGAAGCTTCCAGGAGCCCACATGGGTCACCATGAGGATACAGAAAGAGCTGAATAGAAGCCATGCATTAGAAGGTGACAAGAGGCAGTGACATTAGGGCCATCAGGAATAACGTGTTCCCAATTTACACCTACCTTGGTGAGGCCTGGGGAAAACCATTTGCTGTTAGAGTAACTGTCTCCTGACAATCATCAAAGGGAAAATAACATTTACTGAAAGCTATGCTTTTACATATATTCTAGCATTTAACTCTTATAGAATTCCTAGGAGATATATCTCATCATCCCTGTCTTACAGATGGAGAAACGGAGGCTCAGGGAGGTTGAAGAAGTCATTCAAGTTCACATGTCTGTAAGTGGTGGAGCCAGTACCAAGCCTGGGTTCCTCTGACCCCAAGTTTCATGTTAGTTTCATTACACCTCATCATCTCCCAGCATTACCGGAAATCATCAAGGTTCCCCTACTCAGAACACACCAGACAAATTCTGCCAAACAAAACTCATTCTGTTTTATTTCTTGAACAATAAGGTGCAGAGAGCTCAGAAGAGAATAGAAAGCTCGGAAAAAGGGCTGGGAGCAGTGGTTCACGCCTGTAATCCCAGCACTTTGGGAGGCCGAAGCAGGAGGATCACGAGGTCAGAAGTTCAAGACAGAAAGGTCAGGGAAAAAAAAAACCCATGTTTGAAGCTAATTGATGATAAAAGCTGTATCTCATCTTAATGGGGAAAGGAATGCTCCTATAATGTCAAGAAAACGGGCTCACTAAATGAATTTGAATCCCTCTCAAACACAATAT